AGATTTTCTCTGTTTGCTTCCACTTTAGACATAACCAACTTTGTTTATGTAAACCTTGTGTGTATTTGACAGTATATTAGCGCAATAGGAATCAAAAGATAAGTTATGTTCAGTATACAGGTGCTGTGACCAGTGATGTTTTCGTCAGTGATGACGATAACGAAATGATTTCGTTAACGCACCGTTTTTTGATGACGATAACGCGACGATGACTAGCTAAAAATAGCTCTGAGGTGACTAAAACATGACGAGACGTTTTCAAGTTTTCGTTGACGAGACGAGACGGAACGAAAATGATTATAAGTCTGACGTTCACAATGCATGTAATTTATGCCTGTTTTGCGTGAAATCGGTCTGTATTGAGCTAAAAATAAGTATCAGCAATGCTGCTGTTTCCTATCGCGTGCGCCCAGCACCGGCCGCCACGCGCGCACCAGATTCCACACAACAACACAGGGTTTAATGATAGTTTTTGTACCAAGTCAAGTTAATAGAGTCGGACAAAAACTAGGATAAAACCTGTTGGAAAGCATATTTTGCATCGATGTTTGTGTGAGCATATCAGTGAACATCCCTGACCACTCAGTGAGGCCATCCTTAAAAATATTTTGGTTTGCAGTAACAGCAATTTTTTTTTTAAAAAGGGTCGGTAGGTAGGTCTATATTTTTTTTTTTTCAGGATTCAGTGTAAAAAAAAAAGTAAAATTTTGGTCATGGTGATCATGAATTTTTTTTTTTTTTTTTATTGCATACTGTGACGTCACTGACTGGGTCTTCAAACTGTGCATCCACCACTAGGTGTTATTGCAACCTACAACCGGTTACGTTTTTAGGCCAGTCACAAAATGAATAAATATCTACTGTATTTGTTATGCAGCAGTGTGCAGGCTTTTTTTCCCCCAAATACATGAGATATAAGCAAAAACAAGTACAAACACATGGTGAAACAAAGAATACAATTAAACAAAGATACAAATTAGCCTATACACAGTGCTTTAATTTCAGAAAGGTCTAAAATTAGTTAATTTAAAAGTGTGTTGCGCTGTCTGAAAAGAAATTTAATTTAGTAAATCAAATGTAAAATGACACTGCATGGTTTATCATAGTTAGATTAATGCTTATTAAAGTTTAAGTTAATAATTCAAGAGCTGCGAGTGATTTTTCTCTGCCTTTTGTTGTGTTTGATTCCCATTACTGGCTCAATCGTCACATGTTTATTAGACTACTGCCCCTTTAAGACCGAGTTGTTGCACCACCATATCCTCCCAACTATTCACATCCATTTAAGACATAAACTGTGTTTAAATGAATCTCAGAACAGGTCATTTTAGATTTTATGTATATTTGATAGTTTAGCTGCGCACATGAAGCCCAAAATGAGGCTATTGCCTACTTTTCTTGTCCCGTTGCAGTGCATTTCGGAGCACGCATCACCTTGTGAACAGCGTCTCTTGCGCAGACTTTTGTGCTTTTAATAGCTCTTTTAATGATTGAACCCGTACGCAGTTTAGCAACAGTACAGACTGCATTTTACAACAATTACCGATCGTGCTGATTCTGACGGTACGTTTGGGTTTTAGGAAGAAATGACAGCGCAACGCTGTGAAGGGAAGGAAGTTGCGCTATAGACAGAATGCGTCTGTAATGGTTTCATCTCAAATATCTTTTTATAATCTTTGAAAGCGGAAATCTAAAATACAATTAGAATAATATCCCAGATCTAAAGTGTAGGTAACCACGTTCTGTCCTCATTGTCACTCATTAAGCAGGGCTGTCATGTTGTTCGCGCTGTGGCTCCGGGTGAGAGATCGCTCTCTCTCTTCTGGACTGCGAATAGCAAAATTGCATCAGACAAATTGTTTAATATTATTATTATATATAGAAATGGTTGATATTCAGCCCATTTAATACCGGGTTTACCAAGCGGGAACACTGAATGAAACGAAGCGAACGTATAAGCCTTATAGATAGTGTGACACGGGTAAACCAATCGTGTAAACATAATCAGATGACTATGAGGCCACGGGTTTTTATTTAAAAGAAAGAACGTAGCCTACGTTTGTAGACATAAGCAACTTTCACAATACTAACTAAAATATAATTTTATGGAAGTAAAAAAAAAAAAAAACGGTCGGTCTGAACGCAAGTTACAACCGGCAAGTCGGTCGGACTAAAAGGGAAAAAAAATAAAAAATTGGGTCGGCCCTAAATTGACAGGGTCGGTCGGGTTACGGCAAACAAGAATATTTTTAAGGGTGGCCTGAGTTTGACGTCTTTGTAAATGAATGTTTAATGCGTTTTATGAATGATTGTGTGGGTGCTAACACACAAACCTAAAATTCTCGGGACAACAGCATTTGTCCAAATTTCAATCTTAACCGTTCTATTTCATCAGAAACGATCTTAAAACAGGGCTTTAAGTGTAAAATACCAAACTAACCAAGACCAAATACAGTGTTTATTCTGGGATTGTCTTATTCATTTTTTTGTTCAACACACTCCAAGTGTCATGTTTGTTTCATACTTTATATTCAAGTATGCATTCTTTGGTCAATGCACCTCAGGATTAGATATTTATTTTATTATTTTGTTTCAGAATGTTTGCAACTTTGCACTTTGCACAAGTTAAAGATAGACTGGGTTATATACATAATGTTTGTGTTTACAAAAAATGTGCATCTTATTGATGCATACTACGTTGTTCATTGCACTTTAGCAGTTTCTCAAATAAAGCCACAATTGCCAAAGTAAGAATGTTTTTATGCTTGGCTTTTTTGGAGTAAAACAGTGATTTCACTGTTACCACTTTATCTGTGTACAATGTTCTAGTAGCTCAACGTTTTTGCTGTTTAAACTTTAAACCATTCCTTTATTCCTTTATTACTGTGATAACTGGTGAAAATAGCTTTTAATATTCAGGGGTAAAACAATAACTTGAAATATGGGAATAAAAGGTTTCTGCCCAATGTGACAATGAAGTACAGCTTGGCAATGGCAGCACTGCATCTCCATCAATGAGAAAGTCTAGTTTATTATACAAAGGTTGTATGGTTAGTTTGTTTTATGAACTGCAACACTTGCTAAATCTGTCAAACCTAAGCCCATTTCCACTACTTTTTAAACTAAATTAATTTGTTAAAGACTACTTTTTTTTTTACTAAAACTGATTAAACTTGACTAAAACCTTTTGGTGTTTTCGTCGACTAAAACCTTTTGTGTTTTCGTCGACTAAAACTTGACTAAAACTATTACGTTTATAAGTGACTAAAATGTGACTAAAACTTAAAAGCATTTTCATCCAAAAGACTAAGACTAAAACTAAAAGGGCTGCCAAAAACAACACTGGCTGTGACAGACTTTTAGTTCCTGTGAGCATCGGGTGTACACGCTCAGAAAAGCGCATGTTAGAACAGTGCATCAGCACGTGAATGATATGTTTAACTAGCAAGACTTTGACGCACATGCACATAATGAACATTTGTGAATTGCAGTGTACCTTTGACATTCAGTACGCATTTACATGTGATGTTAATGTATGTCGCGTTGTACAGTATGTTGAGATGAAGGTGCCAGAATTGAACTGATAGAATGCACAATACTATGATTTTTCGACAAAAGCAGATTGTGGAGACATTTTAATCGTCCACGATCAAAAAACATGATTATCGCACACCCCTAGTTGGAAGTTTAAGTTGCTGGCGCTCATGCTTTGTTCATGGTCATCATGTGCACATAGGAAACATGCCACCCTATCAGCAAGGCTCATCGGCAGATATGAATATTACTGATGATGGCCGATGATGGTCATTTTAAGCTTTTATAAGCCGATACCAATGTTGTCCCGACATCATCGTGCACCCCAAATTTTAGCCTAATTATTTGCCTTTTCCATTTCAAATAATATAATAGCAAACGGTTTACTTTTTCACATACCATTTACTTTTTTTTACTAGTTCTGTCTAACAAATCATTAGATATGACTGGCAGAGGTTGTAAACTAATGAAGATGGCGAATGTAAGCACTGTATGATCAACGCTGCCATTCTCTGCTCAGACGCTGGTGTTCTCAACGTATCCCGTCAAAATAAAAGTACCGCTTCCAACACATCGGCCGATATATCGGTCGACCACTAATTATAAAAACTGCATTATATGCAACTGTGTACTAATCAGTTGCTAATTTTGACCTTTAATATTATAGTACTGTACCAGAAGACTGGGGTTTCGGTGTATTGGTTGATTTTTTTTTTTTTTCAATGTACATGTACTATACCTTATATATGCAATTTAATTCATATCAAATCAAAATGAAACTATATCAGAATCTAAATTGCAAGGTTATGAATAGAAGAGTGAAAATTTTGTCAATGTTCAGCCCAAATAAAACAAATTACCAGTCATTGTAGCAGTCGGGCTATTGATGAATTCTGAGAGGGACAGAAAACCTGAAAGATCGACCCATTCAGTTGGCTCGAAGTTCATTAAAAGACACTAGCCAGGTTTCCATCCAAGGATTGGCGCATCAAAATGTTTACAGATATAGCTGATGGAAATGCCATTTAATATGTAAAGTTATCTATAAGTCATTTAGGCTAATATCCCCAGAAATTATAAACACTGAGGCGCTATCAAAACATTGCTCTGTTTAAGCATTTTTATGTTTAAAGATCAATCATGACTTAATCTATCAAAACCCGAGAAGACTGCACATTAACTGCAGGAGCAGTCGTAATAATGGCCGAGCAGTCAGCGGGGGGTGAGCATGAGCAACATGACTACATTACTGTCAGTGTCATTACAGATCACATTCAAAATCAATGCCCGTAAAACAACAACAACTCAAACACCATTTCTTTACATAAATGGCATTTACTTTGGGGATATGGACAAAACATCCTTCAGATTCTAAATTGAATGAGTGTACACCACGCTCCAAAACACATACTGGGATCAACAAACCATCAGCTGAATGATGGAAAAGGTTATGCTATGAAACGCACCTTCTTGGGTCCACTGAAGATCTTCCTGCTGCCCTCCTTGGCTTTCTCCTGAGCTTTGACCTGAGGTTTCCTCACTGTTTCAGACGGGAAGGGGACCTCTGGGAACTCCAGAGGATCTATAAAACCACAAGCAAACATTAGCCATGTGCCTACTAAACCAAAGGCACAATAAAAGAGCAAAATAACAATGAAAAAAAAAAAAAAGTCACACAAACCTGTGTAAATGTCGATGTCTGAATCATAGACATGATAAAAGATATAAATATATGTATACATATCATAAAATAACACCTATTTTTGGACCATTATGATTTTTATACTGATTTTGATGTTTTACTTTAAACAATAATACATAAGATTTATTATCATATGTTGATGTATAAATTTGTTAAAATGTATGCATTTTTGTATGCACTTAACTGTCCTAAAAAAGGCTTCATTTGCTGTACGCAAGAGTGCATTTAAATAGAATATAGATCTGTTCTTGATGACAGCAAATCTGCACAGACACTCCCCAATCTCTATGCACTCATGCAGGTAATTTGATGTAAACAGAGCTCAAAGTTAGATCCCCAGAAAGAGTGTTGAGTGCAAATACTGACCATATTTAAGGCAGTGACTGTCATCTGCAGTGTGACTGCTCTGAGAGTCCTGCATCTCCATGGGCTGAGGACTGTCAACACCTGACTCTATGGACACCAGTGGCACTGCTACAGCTGCCGCAGCCTTCCTCTTGGCTTTCCTTCTTTCAGAGGATCCCTCGCCTTCCTCACTGTCACTCTCACTGAGTTCATCAAAGCCAAAGTACTTGATCCTGTAGTTAGAACTTCCTGAAGCAGGGTCGTCATCCTCAACCACAACATCAGCATCATCAAACCCAAAAAGCTCCAGCTTACTGCTCTTCATCTTGCTCTGTGTGGGTTTGGAACGGCTAAAAACCCAGAAAAACAGTCAAAATTTCACACATGTAGACTTCAAATCAAACATGAAAGAATGAGGCCAAGTGAGAGCAACCAAATGAATTATGAATTTAACAAAAATGTATGGCATCTTACAGTTGTTGTTTTTTTTCGCATTTCGCTTCATCTATATACATGAAGTTGACATCTCCAAATTAGGTCTGGTAAATCCAAAACTTTGCAATCCTCATGCAAGCATTGTCAAATGCTTTGAATGTATTTGTTACTCAGAGCTGTCACAATTAAAGTACCTGATTTTTTTTTTTTTTTTTGTAATCTTTCAAAAAAAGTTTCTGAGTGATCAGAGCCACCAAATCTAAATGAAATCAAATACATATTTTTTTTAATGTCTGGAGTTGGATGGATTTAATGTTCATTTCTATTTTATTTTAAGGCACCGACGTTCACATGGCAAAGCAATTTTTTTTTTTCTTCTTTGGTTAGGGCAGAGCTCTAGACTGTGACTAAATGGTTACATTTTGCAACCCCTTTTCCTCCCGGTGCGACTGAATTATGGCAAGATGTCACATTGGTGGCACTACCAATATGACCAACTGGTAAGCGCTGCCATTTCTGTTGCATATGAGAAACATTAAATGGCAACCGTGCCAAAAGCAGAATGAAACTGTGCTACTTGTTTGAACCACCCCACAGAAACCATTTATCAGCTCAGCCCAAAAAAGAGCACAGCGTGAGCTTAGAGCAAATGCATTCACTCGCTGATGGGTAAACAGCGCTGTGAGATCTAGTTATAAGTGTTTCAGTTTGGTGTGGAGTAACATAGGTCTATAAGGTGTTTTTAATATACTCTAAGACAAACCATGTGCAAATTCATCAGTCAACACCATTGCTGATGTTTTCTCCTTCGCCCTTGTTCACTACATCACAAATATGTTTTAACCAATCCAGTCAACGTGTGGGGCTGGCTTTAGCATATCAGTAAATATATGCGGCAAAGTGTGCGTGTGTGTGGTGGTGGGGGGTGGGGGGGGGAGATATTGTTCTGTTGATATGAAACTCCCATGAGGTGGGAACTAATTTGCATATGCATGACTCCGTATATACTAAATGAAGCAAGGGTGTAGAGTTTCATTCAAGCTCTTTTAGGGCATGACGAACTTATTTTCACAGGATTTTTTTGTCATTTGATGATAATCAAAGATTAGTTTAAGGTTTATAATCGAATGCTATATTTTTTTAAATGCCCATTGCAATATATATATATATATATATATAGCTTGTGTCTAAAAAAAAGACAGACACTACAAATTTAGAACATTGTCCAAAAACAGTTTGACGTACAGTTCAGATCAAATTTAGTACTAAGAATTTCATGTAATTACAATAATGTTCTTACACTTAACTATTACCTGAGAGGTTTGATTTCTATCTCGGTTTTCTTCTTCAGTCTTCCTGCATCTCCTGGACTAGCCGCTGGGGCGCTGGCCACGTACTCCTCCATACTGCGGTCCATGGAGTCCTGGAAGGTGACGTTAAACATGGAAACACAAGACGGATGCAGCACTGTGTAGTCTCTCGTCCGACCTCTACTCGTTGTTTTCCCAGCATTTTCGGCCCCGCTGTTCTGCAACGTTTCCATGGAGCTATGACTGGAAGCACTTCCACTCCCATCAGCTCCACCAGGCTGTTTGCCTTTACTGGGTCTGCAATACGTTCTGCAGTTGGATGCCCTGAGAAGAGACTGAGAGTGGTCCTCGCTTTCAGATGGCTCAACAGGAACATTAAAGTTCCCTTGGGCAAACTCTTCTAACCGAGTCTCAGTGGAGGATGTGCCCTGAATGTTGCTGCGACTGTAACTACTGGATGCCCACAAGGTAGATGGAGGGTTTTTATGTCCGGTAAAGACGGGTGTGGAGCGTGCCCCCAGTCCGACCACAGTGCTCCAGGCATCATAAGAATCCTTGTCATCTGTTTTTTCAGACTTTAACGTGGTAGTCTGAGCATAAGGTCTCGTGTCGCTTTCAGAAGGGTTTTTGTACCATAAATAGCTGTGTTGGTCAGTGCTCTCAGTGGACCAATTTGTGGTCTTCCCTATAGAAAAACAAAATCAGCAGTAAAAACAGCAGTCGGAAATGCAATAAAATGGATGAAATCTTACTTAACTGACAGAAAACAAAGCACACGCATTAACAACACCCAATCCACATATTCAAACTGTAAAATAGGTGTCCCTCAAGGATCTATATTGGGCCCTCTTTTGTTCAGTCTCTATATAAATGACCTGCCCACTGTTTGCCCATCTGTACATTTACAAATGTATGCAGATGACACAGTCCTCTACGTGCATGCTCAAAATAAACAACAAGCTGCACACAAACTGACTGAGGCCATGAGTAAGGTATCCAGGTGGCTAACTAATTCATGCTTACACTTGAACATTAATAAAACAGTCTGTATGTACTTTACAAAACGACCAACTGTCACTTATGACCCTGAGGTGCTTGTCAACCAAGAGAAGATTAGAGTAGTGCCGGACTGTAAATATTTGGGAATCATCCTAGACTCAAATCTATTATTCAAAAAGCATACTAAAAAGGTTGCCAATATTGTTACATTTAACCTAGCAAATTTTAAGCATATAAGATCGTATTTATCAATGAAGGCCGCAAAAATCTTTCTGAATGCAATGATTCTCTCACATTTCTCTTACTGTTTAACTAGTTGGTCGCAAGCAAACAAAACAACAATGCAACCTTTGGAGTCACTTTATAAACAGGCATTAAAGACTCTGGACCGGAAAGGAAATAGTCATCATCATTGTCTTATAATTAAAAAACACAATATGCTCAGCTTTGAAAATTTCATACATTTCGCTGATGCATGTCTTGTTTTTAAGGTACTCCGTGGGCTTGCTCCACCACCACTGTGCCAATTCATAAAACAGAAAGACAAGGCCAATAGAGCTACTAGAGCAACAACAAGAGGGGACTGCATTGTTCAGTATAGACAAAGCAGGTTTGGAAATGCAGTCTTCTCTATTAGAGCCACAATTTTCTGGAATAGTTTGCCCAAAGAGTTAAGGGAGTGTAATAGTCTCTTCTCCTTTAAAAAACAACTTAGGTCTTGGTTTGGGGACACTTATACGTGTAAGCATACATCCTATACTTAGGTTTAAAATACACTTGTATGTGTATATGTGGATGTATGTATGTGTATATGGGTTGTGTACATGTATGAATGTATGTAGAGATGTGCGTATGTATATGCGTACATTTGTTTGCGTATATGTATGGGTGAGAAAGTGTATGTATATTTATATATGGCCTGTGTATGCTCTTTATGTTTTTTAGGCTTATATTGATCCTGATATGTCCTGTTCATATTTTATTATATTACTACTGTACTTATTAAATGTATTTTTTACTGACTTTTGCATTTTAGGCAGCCTGCTAAGACCTGGCTAGGGACAGCAGATGAAAATTACCACGCGTAGCTAACTCTGGCTTGTTTACAACATGTATTGTTGTTGATTAATGAGCATTGTCCCTATCAAATAAAAAAAATAAAAAAATAATAAAAAAAAAATAACAGAACTCTGACTTCAACCAAGTACTTGACCAGACATGTTCCTAAATAACCATCAAATGTCCATTAACTTGAGGAATATGTAACTGTTATATATAGGACTAACGGTAACACTTTACAATAAGGTTCATTAGTTAACATTAGTTAATGTATTTACTAACATGCACTAACCATGAGCAATACATTTGTTACTGCATTTGTTCATCTTTGTTAATGTTAGTTCATGAAAATACAGCTATTCATTGTTTGTTCATGTTAGTTCACGGTGCATTAACTAATGTTAACAAGATTTTAATCAAGTATTAGTAAATGTTATGGGGGTCTAAACTATGAAGAATTTTCATTTCGGTGCATCCCTAGTTGTATGGTTCATTTATTGTGGATAATTAAAATGTTTTCCATTTTCAGTGTTAAATAGTCTCTAGAAATAAAAGTTTATAGATCTTTGAAAAGGTGTACCAGCATTATTATATTATTTTAGATGTAAATGGTCTCAGAACAACATCTCTTATCGCAATAATTTCTTTGACAATTTGTCGTCCAGCAAAATTTGTTATTGTGACAGGCCTAGGAGTGTATGCATTCTTAAACAGATGTCAAAACTTTTTAAACAGATGTAATATTTCATGCTAGTGCACCTTTAAGTTCTGAAGACCATCTGAGTCCAACAATTTTCTCTGATACCATGACAAGTCAAACACAGGCCAGGAGACACACAGCTAGACATCTTTAAAGCAATAATCACACCTTTGCAGTCATATGTGCAATGCTCTGCCAGAAAACACTCAGTTTACCATTCTTACAGTACTGTATTCATCATTATTCCTATACCTACAATTATATGTACTATGAGTTAGGAGACAGGACAAAACGCTAATGGCAGCTTTGAAAAAAGGTTGCCAATATACAAAACACTCATTGCGCCTCATGACAAAAGCAGCAGAGAGACTCTAAAGAATCTATTACACAACAGGACTTACAAAATGTCAGTTATATCACCACTTTGGTAATTCTGAACATTCCCCTTTTCATTAGATTATTAAGAGCCGAAAAATGGCAAATTAGGGTGTCACAAACACCTCAAATATCCCAACTTTTAAACAACATCCAAATTGCTTAAATGACTTTAAATCAGTCACTGTAATAATCAAACTATCACTCTTTAAAGCCTGAATTCTGATCTAATCTTAGTTGAAAAGGATTTATGTAATGTGTGAAATTGTCAGCCACACTTATATTGACACTGTTTTGGATGGGGCAGCAGAGTTAGTGTGTTGAGGCGACATGACTGACAGCAACCATCCGCAATGCAACAAAGTTAAGCAGTAGTATGTAAATTGCCAGTAACTAGGTGTGTCACGATTCTCCAAATCCTCGATTCGATTACATTTTCGATTTTATTCTCGATTTTTATCGATCGGACAATCAGGATGCTCTGTGTCTTACATACGCTTCATGAGGCACACACGCAAAGCCTCTCGCTCTCTCCCTCTCTGCCGTGCACGCAATACGGATTGGAGCACAGTTTTTTCTGTCTCGGCATGCACGCTCGCTCTTGCTCAAGTTCTGTTGATGGGTCTTGTGCATCTACAACTGCCATGCTATCTTTTGAATGGCTGTAGCTAAGTTAGAGTAGGTAGACCATAGACTTGTAGCACTTAAACATGCATGTTTTTTTCCGCTTGGCAAGCCGAATGGACGTTACATGGGAGCTCGGCAGCATTGACGATTCCATTTTTTAATTTGAAGTTCGAGATTGTGAATTAATTTCGATCAATTTCAATTTAAAATCGTGACACCCTTACCAGTAACATGATACAGCAACCACCAATCAATCACCACTGAAAGGCAAATAGCGTGATGGGTCTCATGAAGTTGGAACATCCACCACCAACCAAATATACAGTCTCAACCAGTCGAACCACAAAGATCGTGCTAAGTGAGCTGAACTGTTACTTGGAATGTCGTATGAAAGTATGGGACCACTTTTTCCCTAGTCAGTCACCCATATATTTTATTAAACAGATATAATTAATGCATTTCCATGTAATTAGATTTCACAAATGTAATTTCTATCGACCAGCTCACTTAGCGACGTTCGTGGTTCGACTGGTCAAGACTGTTTTCCAAGCTGGCTTCTGCCTGTTTACGCTAAGTGTATTGTCTTTATAAAGTATCATCTTATTAAACTGTCTGTACACTTACAAAGTTCTCAATGCGGTTTGCATGTAGGGACCCTCATTATGCCATTTACTAGCTATAAGCTAAACAGTTTTCGGACACAAAACTCTTTACATTCGATTACCACGAAAACAAATCCCAAAGAATGGTAGACTACGTACCAGTATTATTAAAGCATAGGTTCATTTTGCACCAGAGTTTTCCTTTAATGCTTTATTCATCCCAAAATTTGATGTTCCAGGTTTGATGTTCCAGAACCTGTTGTTCAGAATTCCATTTAAAAATAATTAATTAATAATGCTGCATAATTTACATTTACATTTATTCATTTAGCTAACGCTTTTATCCAAAGCGACTTAAAAATTGCTGTATATGTCAGAGGTTGCACGCCTCTTGAGCAACTAGGGGTTAGGTGTCTTGCTCAGGGACACATTGGTGTCTCTCAGTGGATTCGAACCCTGGTCTCTCACACCAAAGGCATGTGTCTTGTCCACTGCGCCATCACCAGCCCTCAGGGCATAATACTCTACACGTCAATAAAAAAAAATGAGATGATTGATCACTTTGAAAGGTGATGTTCTCTTTTTTCCATATTGGATGTGTCATTATGTTTAAATCTCATCATTATCGGTTTTAAATCTCCTTATAAAAAATGTAATAAAAATTTCCAATGAGCTTATTGCATATAGAACTTCCCATCTATATCATGCAGCTCTAGTTCTCTGTGTGAACAAGACTTCAGGTAAGTTGTCGACTGTTATCGATTATATGGTGCCATTTATAGTATTTTTTTTTTCACAGATAACTGTTGAAAATATGAATAAAGCAAACTGTAATCAACAGTGGACTTACCAGTAATCTGGTAGATCTGTATACACAAAATCATATTATCCAAATAAAGAAAAGGTAGCACATGAATAGCATACAACTAGCCTGGATGCCAGCCCGAACTCCGCCCACAACATTTTTTGGACGGGAAGTTCGGTCTGGACTCGATCCACTGAGGAGTAATTATGATCGGTTCAGAAATCATCGGGCCAATCAAATTGCCAGGATGGGCTTTATACGATGATTGACAGATGATCTGCAAGGACGTAATTAACTAACTAATTGATTTCCGGACTGCAGCTGGAAAATTGAGATAGAGATTCCGCTGTCGCGTCTGTTGTAAAATAAATCGACAGTGCATTCATTTTAATAGACAAACAGAGAACTGCAATCAAGGTATTTGTCGATCGGAAAGATATTTTTGCCGTCCTTCTAACATGATTCGGGAAAAGTGTAACTTATCAGCTGGCTCTGACGGTCGCTAAGAAGATGAGACG